TGTGTGTGTGTGTGTGTGTGTGTGTGTGTGTGTGTGTGTGTGTGTGTACACACAAACTGTAAACTGTGGACTATTTTTTTTGGTGGGAACTGAACTTAACACTTTTGGATTTACCTTGTATCTCTTAACCCACTTTAGTGGTTGCAGGTTTTACCCCAAGTCTGTAGAAACAGTTTGTGTGATGTAAGATTAGATGTCGTGGAACAGATTTGACATTACATCATTGTGAGTCTGCAGTTTGCACCTCAGCCTGCCTATCCTCCAGTAGGCATCTCAGTGTGGAGGTGACAGACGAGCCCATTGCCGTCAAGGCCTTAGACTAATGAAGGCCTTGACTTGTCAGACAGTCAGACACGGCTACATTACTGTGGTCTGCCACACTGTCTCTCACATACTGAGCTTCCTCCCTTGCACCAGCACATAGTATATGTTTGAAAGATTACATCAGTGTTTGCTGAAGGTATTTTTAGTTGCTGCTGGATTCAGGTTTAGTGGGCATCAGCAGGTATTTTCCCAACCAAGTTATAAATCTTCATGACATTTATACCAACATCTGTATTGATGTTTTTAGAAGAGATTATATATTCTATTTGGTACATTATGAGGTGTGTGTTTTATTTAACATGGGAAATATAAATATAAATGCAAATTATTGGGTACGCTGTGTATAGTGTGTGTGCAATATATACAGTATTTGATATATCAACTGTACTTTTCAAACCACCCCTGTAACTTGATGGTACAGTAAATTCCAGTCATGTAAACCATGTATTTGTATAGCAGGGTAAATCTGTCTGCATGTTGCATTAAAGGACTGTCTGTATCGCAGTAAATGGGAGTACAGGGCCGTGGTCTGGCTAATTGAAATCTTAAATCCATATTTTTATTTTCATGCACAATTTACTGCACTATGTAGTCGGCGCTAACTGCTTTTTTTTGCCGTCGTATATGCTGTATGCATTATGATTCATAAGTCAAAATAAACCAGAAAGTACCGCAGATTGTTTTCTCTAATTGAAACATTTTGCAAAGCTTTCATTCGTTATTCTCGGGAGGAGTTGTCGAATGCAACATATTTTTATCAGAAGCCAGTGTCATCACTGCAGTCTGTCTGCTGCTTGTTTCCTGTACTTCCTGTATTTTTTAAACAAATTGAAAGGCGCTGATGTGGTAGTTTGGTCAGTGGGAACAATGTTACACAGATCACACATTTATTGGCAAAACACAAACATTGTCCAAATAAATAATTCTGTACACGCATGCATGCGCACACACACTTTGACTTCACTGTTTGGCCAACCTCTCCGTCCTCTCCTGCTTTTCAGGCAAGTGTAAAAGAGCAATGCAACAGCTGATGCTCAGACTCATAAAGGGCCCTTTGATTGGCTGGGTGGGGGGCGGGCGGGGCAGAGTGGGTGTGTTGGGGTGGCTGGTGTGACTTTAACACTGCTACACCTACCCAACACTCATTACAGCCCACCTGTGGCAGCTGCCATGAAAAAGAAGTACACTTTCTATTACACACACAAGCACCCACTCTTGTGCATGCACACACACTTAACACCTAACACACACCCGGTCTGTCTCCCTGCAAATGCAGTGAGAGGATGGAGGACTATCATGACTCTGCAGGTTCAGGTGCAGTTGACCCAGTTCTGGCAAATGTTCACTCCTTCATTTCTTGACTTCTTTAGCTTCTTTTCCTTCTGCTCCTTCCACCTTGGAATAACAATTATAAAATCCTTTGGCTCCGATATTGAATTTCAAAGTTATATTTCTCCCCAAGTAGTATTTTACTCGAGCTGTCAAACCAATAGGAATCATTTCTCTCTTTTGGCTCGGGCAGATTTTCAGCTTTGCTGTGCTTGTATTTTCTATATTTACCATTAAATATGCAGCGCTCGTCCCGTTTGGAAACCATAGACGACGAACTATGTCGAAACGTATTTTTAATTACATTGCGCCCTCAGAAGGGGGGGAAAAAACGGGCGCTGAAATTATGCTTTATTATATGGTTCTTTAGCCTCCCAGCCAAAAGCAACTCATTCGATTTTGTTTTAAGGCCATCTTTTCTTTCCCTCCCTCCTTCCTAAAGTGGCTTTCGGGACTGCTCTGTTGCAGTCTTACCCTTTCTTTGACATGCTAGTGCCTGCCAATAAAATAAATAGCAGCAGACTTGATTATACAGGGATAGACTGGCGAAACACTGCACCCGTTTAGTTTGGAAAGCCCAAATAGTTGAGGCCTTTTTCAACCGACTGAACCAGAGAACCCAAATGTACAAGTGTTGGAATAAGTGGGTGGCTATGTACTGCTACCTTAGAAGGTCTCGCCTTCCTTTTTATACACCAATTCAGTCTTTGTTTAGCCAACCGCAGCCTCGACGCTCCACTCCCAGCAGAGGACAGTAGCTTCTTTTAAAGAAGTCCTCTGCTGGCTCAGCGTCTCCTCACAGGAAAATGAGGGCTGCTGTCCTGTTGAAGGGAGGGGATGGATTATGTTTTTACGAGGCCCACCCAGGCGTCCCACCACCAACACCACAATGAGGGCTGGAGGAGACCAGAACTGGAACATTGACCATCGCACACTTTTGCCAAGATTGTATTTTATAGTTGAAAATTGCTAAATTACAAAACAAAGGCTGAACTTCGGCCAGGCAAACATGAACTCAGGTTAATGACTGGAATCTTCATTCTTCATTTATCAGATTATCATCTGCAGCTAAAAGAAAGGCATCTTCAGTGTTTGTGCGAGTCGACAGAAACGAGACTGGAAAGTTACAAAAATGTTGGTGTTTTTTTTGACGATGGAAGTTCCAGTTGTGGTTGGTGGTGGGCAGGGATGCCTAATCAACCTTGACTGTCAGCATCTTTATGCTCGCGTAATGATTGAGGGGAAATTAAAATAATTAAAGTTGGATATGTTAGACATGAAGAGAAATGTGTGATGAGGAAGAGAATATCAGCTACTCTTAACCCATTTTCCTTTGTATATTTATTTTCCTCTCTGTCTTTCCTGGTGGTGATATTTACCAAACGTCCGCTCAGAGGCCCAGCCTGTCCACAGGTCTGGATCAGATTTACTCTGGGCTTAGCGCTCTGGTTAGAGGAGTGAGGATGGTCAGGGCTGGAGAGGGAATGTCTTACAAAACGTCCTCGTTCAGCGGTTAGGGGATATTTGAGATGGAGGGGTTGGGGATTTCCCTACAGGACATATCTCTCTCTTTCTTCTTGTATAAATCTGTTCCCTCAACTGGAGTCAAAGCACCTTAGGTCAAACTGTTTAATACTACTGTTAAGGTGAATGGTGAATCGTACTGACATGTTACTCTTCATCTTTTGTCTTTTCCCCTCTGCCCTCCTTTCTTGTCACGCATCTGCCCTTTCATACATTGTTGATCTCCCTCCATCTCTCTCCTCCTCCTCAATCTCTCCTTGACTGTTTGTCATACGCCTCCCCTTGAACCACATTATCCCTCCAGTCATCCGCCTCCGCTGAAGGAACAGGGTGGCTCCTGCGTCCCTCAGCAAGCTCTGTCCCCAGCCCAGCTGCCCGAAGAGGCCGAGTGTCTGACGGTGCCCAAGTACAAGAGGGACCTGGTGCAGAAGCTGAAGATTCTGCGGCAGGAACTTTCTCAGCAGCAACCCCAGGCCGGCCACTGCCGCATCGAGGTCTGCCGCGAAGAGATATTTGAGGTAAAAGAAACAAAAACGACACCTTCACACTTGCGTAGAGGATGACATTTTCACACACAAACATGTTAAAAATGCACTTGTTTAAGTAGATTAATGCTCTTTCTAGAAGACTTCAAGAGGACCACAAACACTACTTCTCTTCATGTTTATAGATTATGAACCACTATGAACCCCAAAAAGGTATTTGTTTGAAAGGCAACCTCAACTTTCTGATGTGCTTTAAACCATAAAAGGAAACATTGGGTTGACTGTTGAATGAATGCAAATGCCAGAATTTTCCTTGAATTTTTCTATAATGTGCATTGACCATGGGTTCATTGAATTTACCATCTGGCATTCACAAAAGCATCACATGCTGACATGCAAACTGAACACGTCCATGGAAACGATAGCAGAATGCTCACAAACCCAGATCTTTGCATTTAACAGGCATTCTTTCACCCCATTTACGATGTGCACCAGAAAAGGGCCCAGGGGAGCACAGAACCACTACTCATAACCGCTTTATGATTTCCAGGGAAAAGCAGAACAGAAAGGCCTTCACAACAGCACAAAAAAATACTTTTCTTCTCCTTCTCCGTCTCTTTTTCTTGCTCTCCCAATCATTTGTTCTACCAAAGCGAGGCATTCTTTCTGGATGATTTCAGCAGCTAAAGAGATGGGGGGGGGGTAGGGATAGGGGAGGGTGGGAGGAAAGGAGCTAAGGCAGCAGTGGCAAGTATTCGAGGCCAGACATAACTTCATAACTACAAGTTGAGCAATGAAAAATATGACTTCATCCCCCTTCGACGTGACAGCTGTGGAAGGGGAAAGTTAAGTGCGAAAACCAGCCCTGCAGATCCACTTGGGGTTTTCGTGCAGGAACCAGTGCTACAGATCACCGCTGGCAGTGTGTCCACGCAAAATGTGTGCATGTACTTAAAATGGTTCTGGTTCTCGTCTGTTATCTACATGTGTTCTGTGCCACAAGTTGACATATAATTAATACAAATGAAATGTTTCGCTCAGTGTACGTTAATCAATAATTTAATGGAGGCTTTCAATGTTTAGAGAAGTCACTCTATATGTCGCAAGCTGCTTTTTTGAAAAGAAGACTCTAAAGGGCTCGTTAAAGTCACCAAATCTAGCGAGAAATTCGCTAAAATGGCAACACTGGTAGCGATGTCCCTCAAATTATATTGTAGAGTCATGTTTTGAGATAGTTAATCTCTTGTTCATACTGCATTGTAATACATTTGCTGTGTGTGTTGAATCGTAGGAGTCATACCGGCAGGTGATGAAGATGCGTCCAAAGGATCTCTGGAAAAGACTGATGATCAAATTCAGAGGAGAAGAGGGACTGGACTATGGTGGGGTAGCAAGGTATTTAGTCACATGTTTATTTTTATGTGGTTTTAAATGTCAGCAAACCTTTTTTTTTTTTTTTTTTTATGCTTGTTTAAAGTACATTTTTTCACAGTCGATCGGTGTTTGTGTGTTAGGGAATGGTTATACCTGCTGTCCCACGAGATGCTGAACCCCTACTACGGCCTGTTCCAGTACTCCAGAGATGACATCTACACTCTACAGATTAACCCCGACTCTGCTGTCAACCCGGTACCAATTATTTAGTTTTATAGGCGTATAAAACTTAGTAAGACGTGATGATAATGTATGTATCCAGCCAGTCATCGGATGCAGACAGAAACGGGACATTTATTTGTACACTGGTGCTGTTTTGATGTCTAAACTAGAATAAAATGAAATAAAGAGCGATTTTATGAGAGATTTATCGTTATGGTTAGTTTCATCATGATTTATTTAGGTAAATGGATTTTTTAAAGGAGCAATGGCTCTCCTCTCCTGTATGTAACTCTTAGGTCCTGGCATTGCGTAAAAACTGAAGCTGTGTAATCTGAATCTGATATACTAATAAAAATATGACATGATTGACAGCCTTCATAACAACATCCCTGTTTTAATGTGCAGGAGCACCTGTCGTACTTCCACTTCGTGGGTCGCATCATGGGCATGGCGGTGTTCCACGGCCACTACATCGACGGAGGCTTCACTCTGCCCTTCTACAAACAGCTGTTGGGGAAACCGATCACGCTGGACGATATGGAGTCTGTCGACCCGGACCTCCACAACAGCCTTGTCTGGATCCTGTAAGACTTTTTTGGATTCTAGGCAGCCCATTATTTTTCTAAATTCTCTCACTGGCAACCCAAAAAAAAAAAAAAAGTTGGAGGAAACGCATATGGAAGTGATACTGCTGTGATGATATTTTGTAGATTTGTAAATTCATTCAGAAAGCGGTTGTTTGCAGGTGTTTCATGTCGTAACAGGAAAGAAATTCATACATATATATACATACAAAGCATAGGGACTTCTACTTAAGATGCACACAAAAGCTGGACCACACTGTCATCTATTGACTGTGGCGCCCTCTTCTGCCAGTGAAGCTAACGACATCTGATCTCAAAAATATACTTCCTTGCTGGAGCCCGAGCCCGAAAAATGAAATTAAGAGAAATCATTTCTGCAGAAGCTGAGAGACGATTGTTATTGCTGCATACCTTCTCTCTCTAACCTGCCCTCCCTCCTCTTCAGGGACAATGACATCACCGGCGTCCTGGACCACACTTTCTGTGTCGAGCACAATGCCTATGGAGAAATCATCCAACATGAGCTCAAGCCCAATGGCAAGAGTGTCCCAGTCACAGAGGACACCAAGAAGGAGTATGTCAGGTGAGCAGGTTCAGTTTCAGCCCACACACGTAACATACAGCATTGTCACGACAGTAATTCAGTGTCATGGGGATGAATCTGTATTTGCAGTCCCTCAAGTGTTAAATGAACTGACACACTCCCTCTGTGTTTCCCCCTCTCACTCCTCTCTCATGTTCTCTGCAGGTTGTATGTGAGCTGGCGTTTCCTGCATGGCATCGAGGCTCAGTTTCTGGCTCTGCAGAAAGGCTTCAATGAGGTTATTCCTCAACACCTGCTCAAATCCTTTGATGAGAAAGAACTGGAGGTACAAGACGAACATCTATTTCTTCCAAGATACAGTTATTACCTGAGGTACACTTGTCTCTCGTAGTCTTAATTAAGTTTCTATCTCCCTCTTTACCTTCAGCTGATAGTGTGTGGTCTGGGAAAGATTGACATCTCTGACTGGAAGTCCAACACCCGTCTGAAGCACTGCACCGCCGAGAGCAACATCGTCAAGTGGTTTTGGAAAGCCGTGGAGTCGTTTGACGAGGAGAGGAGGGCCCGGCTGCTGCAGTTTGTTACCGGCTCGTCCAGAGTCCCACTGCAAGGCTTCAAGGCTTTACAGGGTACTTATCTGTCTCTGTGTATGATGACGTGTCTCTGTGTATGATGACGTGTCTCT